GGCATAATAAAAAAAAAATGTTTGTTTACGCCCCCCCCCCCCCCCCCCAACCCAATATCTAATAGCCAACCCAAATTTTTTTTCATTGTAAAAATCCATAAGTCACTCATTCGTCAGTTTAACTTTTACATGCATCTTAATCGGTCAAACGTTTGAATCGAAAGTACTAGAAATAGTTAGTGCAACATGGAGTTATTAAGCCCAAACAGAAGTAAAGCACCACACAATGGTAAAACTGTTTTGTATTTCAACCAATTCATGTGAATTTGTGTATAAAAAAATTCAATAAAATAAAAAAAAATCCTACCTACCAACCCTATTTTATTTCAGCATGTAACAGTAAACAAACATATTTTTTTGTCTGGCCTTATGATATTGTATGGCTTGGGGTCTTTTTCACTTCTCTTAAAAATTTTGTCTGGATGATATCTAGCATAATATACACCATGCAGTGAGGATTTTAGTTCACCCGAGCTAAAAACTCGAGTGAACTTTTCTGATCACCTTTTGTTTTGTCTTTTGTCCATCAAACTGTCGATCCATCAGTGAACTTTTCACATTTTCAACTTCTTCTCAAGAACCACTAATTTTAACCAAGGTTGACACAAAGTAAGGATATTTTAAATTGTACAGAGGAAGCCCCCTCCTCTCCCCCCCCCCCCTTTCACCCCAAGAGGAAATGATCAACTCTTTCAGATATTATTGATATGATCATTGTTGAGCAACTTATAATTTTGTATCCTGTAGACTTTATTTTAAGAATAATGAATATTTGTTTAAGAGTCCTTTTGTCAAGGTTCAAAGTTCAATTAAAATTATTTTGTGATACATGTATTTGAGGATTCGAGATATCAGGAGTAAAATATTTAAAGAATACATCCAAATTACTTCGACATATCTATGGTATTAGAGATGCCAAAGTTCAACTGTATGGCTATGCTAAAGTAGTAAATATTATAACTTACTAAAACTTTCTAACATTGAAATATGTTAAATGAAACAAGACAAAAATGAAAAATAAAAATTTACTGGTTTCTGGCTGGTCAGTATTTTGATGACTGTAATTTCTAAAATATTCAATGAAACACTTTGAAGCTTTAACTGTAGATATATGTTAACTAAATATACTATAAGATAATATTTATAAATGAGAAGTTTTGAACAAACATTACAACATGCATGTATGTAAATTGGGGGTAAAAATTTGTTACCGGTAATGGCTATCACCTTAATTTTCAATGACATAAAACAAGATTTAGAATGTAGGTAAATAATACTAATATGTGTCTGTACATATGATATAGCATATACATGTAGAACTTGTACTGAATGTTGATTAGCTAAATCTTGAATGGCTGATATGTTGGTCGTTTTTGATGAAATTTAGATTATTTGTATGTAAACTGAGTGTACATGCAACATGAAATTATTCATAAGGTATTAAACATGATTTAAACATGTGTATGCAATGCAACATATGATGAATTCATATTGACTTGTATAGATATAGCTTAACATGTATGTGCATTGTTTTTTAGGGTCCTGTTCTGCAGATGCCATGAGATGATCTGTCTGTCCATCTGATATCACTTGTCCTGAGTATATTTTTTCTCCTCTTAGCCCAATCTCACTCAAATTTAACTCAGAGAGTGCCTGTGGATGGAGGGTAAAAAGTGACCTTAGACCAATTATCAAGGTAAAAGGTCAGTATCAAAACACACTATATATCTTTATTTAAAGTCCTTGTCCAGAGCATAATTTTTCTCCCTTGGTATGATCTGGCTTGTGTGCCATGGGATGAAGGGTTTTTAGTGATCTTTAACAAAATTTCTAGGTCAAATGTCAATAAGAAAAAAAAAAGATTTGTAATATCCTTGTCCAGAGCACATTTCTCCAATTCACTCAACTAAAAGCAGTGTTCTACATGTACGAGATGGTCACATTCTCAATCATACCTGCTTTAATATTAATCTGGCTTAAAACCTTACTATGTAATGTTCATTATTCGGATTTCATGTCATTAAATTTAAAGACTGAAACTAATTTTAATAATCACTGATATTGGTACATGAAAGGACATTGAGTGATCTTGTAAGATTTCTAAATAATATTCAAGCATACAATTCTTACATCAAATAATAATTTTATATGAAAATATATTGCAGATCGCAGATGATGTGAAGAAAATACAAAGGAACCTGATGTTGAAAGAAGTATAGAGTATTTAATGAAGTTTTTATGAATGGACTTAGATGTGAAAGACTACTTTATTGTGTACCAAGATATATGATTTTATTTGTTTTGATATCATTTTCAAATAATGTTTTTGCACATCAAATGAATTATTAAACATATGATTTGATAATGCTTTTTCCTTTTTATACATTTTCTTGATAGATTTTGAAAAGAAAACACAGTTTACCAAGGAAATTAATAATATATATTTTGATTTAAACCTGCTGTTCTCTTTTCACATTCTAGACAAGAAAGATTTACCATGGAAAATACAGGGATCCTTGAGCTTCCAGTTGCTTGTCAATCATTTTTCGAAATTGAAATGCTCAACCTACCCTGTAGTTTCCATGGTATGGAAACTATTACACCACAATTACACATTGCTTCCCGTCTCAGAAAAATAAGGGAATCTTGAAGTTTCCCAGTAATTTCCTTTTATGAGACACCAGATAATTCCACCAAGTTTCCATCACACGGAAACCACTACGCTCCAATTCCATATAGTTTCCTGAGACATGGAAACTTGAGGAATCACGAGGTTTCCTCTAGTTTCCGTTCATGGGAAATCTGAGGATTCCATCGAGTTTCCATTCCATGGAAACCACTACGCTCCGATTCCACATAGTTTCCTAATTATGGAAACCAGTGGAATCTTCAGGTTTCCCATTATGGGAAACTACATGGAGACTCAGGAAACTTCACGTTTCCTGAGGTTTCCGTGGTTCGGGACACCTTATGGAATCGGAGCGTAGTAGTTTCCGTGGTACGGAAACTTGACGGAATAACCTGGCATCCGCTGCGGAAACCACTAGGAAACATGTTGTAAACATGAGGTTTCCATGTGGTTTCCATACAGTTTCCCATGACGGGAAACTGCTTATTTCACCCAGTGAATATACAATATATCAGGAAGCTTTCACAGTTTCATCTTTTATAGTCAGTGGTTCTGGAGAAGATTTTTGAATGACCCCACCTTATTTTTTACTTTTTCTTAATATTCTCCCCTTGCAAGAGGTTATGGCCCTTCATTTGTATAAATTTTAATCCCCTTTACCCAAGGATACTATGTGCCAAGTTTGGTTAAAATTGGCCTCATATGGTGTTGCCATTATTTGTTCACTGAATTATCTACGAATTTTTCTGTTTACCCGATGATGACGAGGACCACACGTTTGGTAAGACAGCATAACAGGGAATGCTTACTCCTCCCAGGCATCTGATCCCTTTCTATTTTCAGATGTCCGTGTCAGATCTGCTCACAATTTGTATTGTTTTGGACTTTTGATCATGATCATATGGGAAGTCTACATCATAGAGTCAAACAGAGGCTAATGCACCTTGGAACGGCTTTTCTTAAAATAACATCTTTAAAGATTGTTTTCTCTTTTTGTTCCCACAAGACCCATATTGAGCCTCTACCATAGCCTTCACACATTTTGACTAAACCTATAACCGACAATAAATACTGAATTTTAATATGATTACAATATGTAATGTTACCTTACTCTTCTGGGAAAGCTTTTCCCCCCTATATACGTGTATTATGTAAAACTTGCCCACCGATAATACTCCCTTCTAAACTCCAACATCCATTGCACACTTTTTATTGCAGCCTTGCTGTTTTTAAGAAAAGAATGATTTTTAAATATTTAAATTAATATTCCATGTACTAGTATATATATTAAAGCTATCTTTTAAAGTAGTCCCAACCTATCGCCATGATTTAAATCTTTTTTATGTACTATCAATGGACGTTTGCCCAATAACTTAAATTGTGCCCCTGTTGTTCTTGACATGAGGATTTTTAAAGTTTTATCTCATTTTTTAAATCTGTATCACCTGAGGATGTTTGCATATTAATATGACTAAATATGCCATTGTTGTACTTGCGATTTTTGATTTTTTTCTTATTTTATATTTCCATATGAATATTTGATCCCTTGTAGTCGCCCTGCCCTACGTTCCTGAGGACAATGATTGAAACAAAGTTGAATTTGCAATGAGGCTTTTTCAAAATGAATGCTACTGACCATTACCCTGCTGTTCTGAAAGAATTTTAAAAAAAAATACCAAATTTTGATCCCCTATATTATCCCCATTTTGACTATCTGGCGGTAGCGATTGGAACAGGCTTCAATCTGCTCTACTCCGAGGATACTTACAAATACGCAAAACTAAACACGGTTCAACTGTTTTTAAAAGAATATTAAAAAAATCCTATACTTCCGATGTTAACTTTGATCCCATATTGTTCCTTCTTCCTACCCGGACGGCGAATGATTTACACAAGTTTGAGTATACACTCATTAAGGAGGCTTGCAAAAATCATTTTCTTGCCCTGGGATTCTTGAAAGAATATCTTTGCCCAGTCCTATTTTTGCCTTTCTTTGTTATCTCCCATTGAATCCTATTTATCTAAGGATGTTCTATGACAAGTGCTCTATAACTTGCACCAGTAGATTTTGAGTGGAAAATGAAAATGTGAAAAGTTTACGACGACAACGACTACCATGCCAACAGTTAAGGGACACAATCAAAGAAGAGACGCTTACTTGAGCATTTTGCTCAGGTGAGCTAAAACACCTCCAAATACTCAGGTCCAGTGCAATGAACTTCATGCAATTATAAAATCATCCGATCAGGTTAAATGTCGTGTCATAGCAACAACGATTTAGTTTGCTGTTGCATAATCAGAATACCACACATACAGTAATTGGAGCACGTATGCACAGAAGAAAAATCCCGGGAAAATAGTTGGATGTAGTTAGAAGGTTTATGTTATGAATCAAAAATGAAGGTTCTCTATTATTATTTGAAATTTTTCTGCATAGTTGGATATGTTAATGCTGTTTGCCAGACTAATCGAATTGAGATAGATGGAAATGGCTATAAGGGAATTACTGTAGCAGTGTCCAGTAAGCTGGAACCATCTGAAATCCAAATACAAAGATTAAAGGTGAGATATTATATTCATGATTATTGCTCCAAATATAAGTCATTGACAAGAGGACCAACAAATACTCCCCCCCCCCTCTTCATATAGAGATAATGATACACGAAGAGCTTATTTGTATTCTAACGCTTTGTCCTTTATATTTCCTGTGAACTATGCAACATTTTGTGGAAACAATGTAGAGTTTCCTGCAAACCAAGCCGCGTTAACATAAGCCCAGAAACATTAAGTTTAAGCCAAAAACTGTTTCGCAGAGAATGTAAATAGAGTTCAATATAAAACAAAATATCATGAAACTATTAAAAAAAAAAAAAAAAAAAAAAAAAAAAAAAAAAAAAAAAGGAGGATACTATAATACATGTAATGAGCTCTCTTCTTTAAAAAACATTAACTTCTAATTCAATGCTTTAACAAACATACTAAATCTGCTAAGGACACTATACATTCAACTATATGCTGATGTAAGAAGACTGGATCTTTGAAATTATACATTGAGATTGAGCGATTGATATTTTATATATTCTAAAATAAATACATGCACATATGTTGTACATAATGGAGAAAAAAACCCCAGACGCTACTGAGTTGACAGGTTTAAAATTATTTGCTTTGTCTGAAATACCGCACTCCACGAATAGTATTCTATTTTTTGTCAAAACAAGCTATAGCATTTTCTGACCTAAAATCACAAACCATAAAGGATTTTTAAAGAGAAGATTGAATGCGGTTCTTGTAGGCCACTAACCATTGATCCTCAGAAGCGTTTCTTTGGTTCTCTTCTTCACATAGTAAAAAGATACTGCTTAAAGTTTTTTGTCAGCATTTTTTCCTTTTTCAATTCAAATTCCTTGTATCAATTTCCTTGGTTTGCATTGTTTTGGCGTTATGAAGGTCACAATATTATTATTTTATCTTCAGGTCATTTCTCAAAATCTGTACATAGTGTTCTTTTAAGTATTTTCAATTACTTCCTTATTTAAAATCGTTTTAAATGCAGCTGTTTAAAGTGTAACGTGAACCAGTGTATTCTAGGGGTAAAAATAAGGCAAACCTTTCCTAAAGTACAGGTTCTAACCCTTCTTGTATTTATTTAATTCACTATAGATATTAAGTACTTGGGATTGGAAAGTCTTATTAAACTATTGAAGATATAAACCACACTGGTTGAAATGTATACCCAGGTTCTTTAGTGATTCCTAGATTATGATCAACACCTTGTTTAGAAATGACAAGATTTGTAAAGTTTTATAATTTATTGTAACAAAGGTGAATATGAATTTAGACTAGTTGATAACAAAAAGTAATTATATGTTTCCAAAATATAACAGCTGAATTTAACCAAATAAATAAATAATAAGATATATGAAAAATATCGGGGGAGAACGTGACAAACTTAAAAAAAATGTATTTATTGCACTAAAGAGCTTCCATAAACCCAAGAATGTAGGCTAATATTAACAACAGGGATGGCCTATATATATATATATATATATATATATATATATATATATATATATATATATATATATATATATATATATATATATATATAAATGAAATAAGGTAAGGGATATCTAAATCTACCCTGAACCACGGTATGACTCTACTATGGGTAACTACATTCCTAACAGTTTGCTACCGAACTTGAAGTTCTTAAGGCACGAACCTAGCCGTTCTTGACCCCTAGCAGAGTGAAGTTAACGCGTTGAGTAGCTCTATTTATAAGTAAAGGAAGCCAATGAAATACTAAAAATAAATGCCTTATATGATTGGCCAGAACTAAGTCTTTTAGCCAATGAAAATACAGAATATATATTACGTTTGGGATGACTAACAATATGGCGGGTACAATGAATTACCTACATGATTGAAAGGTAAACATCTGTAATATCAAAATACTGGCTTTGCAGGATTTTAAAATGACTTCTGAAGTAAATAAATGTATAGTAGACATAATATTTAAACTTTACAGTTGGAAATCTGATATCATAAAGTCTGTAAACATCAAAATTGTCACAAAAGTATAATGGATCATATTTGGAAATATTTCAGTAAGTAAGAATATTTGTCAAGTACAGTATTTATTTATCCATCTTTCACTGCATTTGAATCTAGAACTTGAAAATGCATGTAAATATCAGATCAAATACGAAATGGAAACTATCTTTAAAGAATTTCAAAACACTTGACAATTAAAGTCGCCTCATACCTTTTAACAAATATAATCTCAAAGGAATTTGACCTGAAACCTGAAACCATTCGAGTTTATTTTAATGTAAAGGTTGATCAATCTCACAAATTCAGTAAAGAATTTCAATCGTGAATAGGGCAAAACACGGATCTCTGGAAATACCAGGCTGGGATCAGGTGCCTAGGAGGAGTAAGCATCACCCTTTGACACCCTATGTTGCAATCAGGTAGACGGAATTGTCCGTAGCCAAATCTAGTATAAAAACAAAGGCCAAACAATTGGTATGGAATATGTCAGATAAAATACTTCCCGACGATAGTGGTATATGCAAAGTCATTATAACGACCTTAAATTTTGCGAAAAGCTGACTCTAAACGAGATTTGTAAAATTACTGTTGCATCAACTTACTTGTCCGAAACCTGCCTCAGTTTATTAAAATTGACTCAGAACATGCTTTTGCGAATCGGATCATTTGGGAAACATAAACACCATATATATATATAACTACATAAAATAAGGGAAGGTAACGATGGAAGAGCTGAAGCAATCCCATTTGTCATACACTTATTTATTAGTTTGCCATTATCGTTTGTGGTCAGAAAAAACATCCAAATATGAAACGGATGTAGCAGATTCTGTAGGGTTTTTCATATCAAGTTGACTGGGATATATCAACTTATAATTTGAATGAAAGTAACTATTGTTTGTTGATAGAACGTCGATACATTTAAATATTGAGTCGAAAGCCACAGCTACTTTTTTCTTCTTCTCGTGTAAACTTTTTGAATAAATTATGCTTCAAAAGAATATAAAGACGCCGTCTTATAAAGGAGCACAATTTTAGCCCATCAGTATTCCAACAGATAAGTGGAAGACCTGGTCTCGAAAGACTACATAATGTTGTCAACGAAGAATTTCAGCATGTTTTAATATTAACTTCAGAATACCTGTGTGTAGAATAAGAATGATTTTATCAGTAACTTTGTAGTTGACCTATCAGAAGATATGAGAATTTACGACTTCAGTCTCCCTTGATACCAAATGAGTATATCACGTTTTTGAACACTTTTTGTTCTACAACTATGTAGATAGCTTTTTTTCATTTTCGAAATATACAGAAATTGTCTTTGAGGGTAAATTAAAAAAAAAACGGAGACATATTTATCAATCTTCTTTAAAAATACAGGCAATGGGAATGAATTTCTATGGCTCAGCATATGTCTTGATCTATGACATAAATAATGTTTTATATTCGCAGCTCTGTTAAGGCTGCATAAAGGGGGCGGGGCCTAATTTATACGGGAAAAGTTTACTGTGACATTACACAAATATAGCAATTCCTCACAATAACAGAAAATGAAATAATTTGCGAATCTAAACTGCATAAGAGTAATGAACTACATCAAAACTTACCACTGCATTCATTTTTGTCGCTAGTTAAATCCCACGACAGCAAGATATAAACAAGTCACTGATCGCAATGCACTTGTCGACATGACGTCATCATGGTAAAGTTTGACGCATTTTATGTGCAGTGAGAGGCGGATCAAGTAATTTTTTCACAGTGAAAAATGCATTTTATTATTAAACAGAATATTATTTGCAAATCTTAGGTAGACCATTAATACAAATCTGAAACGTTTGTTTAGTGCCATTATTTAAAAAATATCGAGAAAATGTATTGAATTAATTCTACCGTGGTTTTGTCTACAGGGTGTGCATGTTTCACGCCGAGGTGCCTCATTAAATCGCCTTTTCGCAAGGGCATACACTTAATAGATCTTGACCATTTTTTGAATACACATAACGGACGTATTCCTTAACTTGAAAAGTGCTGCTGCTTTCCTGAAATCGATAGCATGATTTGATAAATACATAAAATACTTGGTAAAGGTCATACATATTTCAACATTAGCCAGATAACTTGAAATTTAAACTAATAAAATGCGAATTCTATTTAAAGCAGCAGCACTTTCCATAAACTACAAGTTATGTAGAAAACAATCTATTACTTTAATTTTTAATTTTAACTAGGGTATGCCTTTGCGATATTGAAATTTGTTTGTGACCTACATACAGTACACATTACATGCATTTATCACGTGACTATCAAATAACGTGACCAAACCAAATTTAGTACAGAGCGGGGTATACAATGTTATTCAAAGAATGTTAAAGTCATAAGATAATATAGTACCTTTACAAAAATAAATTCAGTTTAAAAAGGTATGTATTTATGCACGTTTATATTCTGTTGATTTCTTTAAAGTACGCCTTAACAGTGCTGCGTTGGAAATAAAGATTTTTCTGATCAAATTCAATATATTGAGCTTTAAATCTAAACTATAGTAATTTTGTTTGTCCATGTTACGGTCATGGCTGATGCTGAAAAATATGTTATACCATGTCAGGAGTGCAACAGAAAAAATACAAAGTTGCCAAAGGTCTATGATTTTAAAAATCTGTTTGACAATTATGTCAAAAATAAAAAATTCTCAAAGTGTAAAAAATATAACTGATTTACTATTAAAACTTAAAAAAGTTATCTGAATCACAAGTACCATTAATGAGTATCAAGTATCTGTGCATACCCATTTATGTCAAGAGTGCAACATTCGACTTTATGCTCCCTAGCATGGATAAACTTTTATCAGTAAATGATTCTTTGCTTTCTATTTTGGAAAATGAAGATAAAAAAAACATTTTTACAGAAAAATCTATCAATTATAGGATCTCTCTGTGTTTCAGATCCATATTTCTAGGGAGTGCAAAACATTTCTTCAAAGATCCACGTTCAATGATGAAAAGACTTCTATTAATATACATGTATACTAATAAGTATTAATACTAATAAGTATTATTTGATCAATAAGAATCTATTTGAATAATTAAGTATTAAATCATCCATTTGACAGTTTCATTACTGAAATCTGTCTGTTTTTTTTTTTCAATTTCATCAATGCATATGTATTTTTTCTTGTTTTCATTTTTTGATAGAAATTTAAAAAATCTCACTGAAAAATTGTTATAAAATTCAAATAATTCCACTATAACTATAAAAAAAAAAAAAAAAAAAAAAAAAAAAAAAACACATTCTGGTGTAATTTATGCTGCACACGTCTACTTTGGTCAGGAGTGCAACAAAAATGTTAAAATTATCAATGATCAAATTTGAATACATGAAACGCACTTATTGATGAGTTGGATGTTTCTGGTTGACCTCAGTTGCTAAAAGTATTTGTCACATAAAGTAAAATGTCCTTTAAATATAACTTTTATCTTCTAAACATATTTAAGCTAGTTTTGACATTAAAAGATAATAATTCCAGGTATTAAGCGAAGTTTAAACAATGATATATATTTTAACCTTGAAGCAATGAAACTATAAATATTGCACAATTTTACTACAACTTGATGTTGCCATAATTTTATGAATTTTTGTGTTTTATTGTTTTAATTTCAAATTTTACTGCAGTTAGGAGTGCAACAAAACTAGTTTATAATTATAAATGAACTTAATCTATCTTTACTAAAAACAAATTGCAGAATATGTTTGATATTAATTGTAGTTGAAATCATTATGTCTATCAACAAATTTCAGACATTTTTGGACATTTTACAGTCAATTCAGAGAATAATTTTCATCACTAAACATACATTTTTAAATATATAAGCATTAACAATTAAATATATAATCTTTATTAAATACATATTAAGCAAATAATCTTTCTTATAAGTCAAGAAAATATGAAAAACTTGCCTTAAATGATAAAAAATATCAAAACAACAAACTGCCTTACAAAATTTGAATGAATTATTGTGTGTTATAATTTTTAAAACAATGTTTAAAAAAATATCAGATGTCAGGAGTGCAACAAAATAAGGTAAATTAAGATAACTTCAAAATCTAGTCTTTTTTGTAAGAAAACCTATTTATCAAAATGCTTATTTGGCAAAGATTTAAAATAAAAAATGACTAAATGGCCAAAACGATATTTTTTGTAGAATTAATTGTATTATATGCCTTTCATATTAAAACATTCAAACCAGAACAGAGACAAATAATGTAAAATAACGTATAATATTATATTAATACTTGGCTAAAGAATAAAACCTTTGTAAAAAGGATAAAATCTTTCTTTAAATACATTCATTATACAACGAAATTTTGAGACACTAAATATTGGTACATATTTATATATTTCTTTTCATAAGTTGAAGCAAAATCACATAGTTTTATATTATATTGCGTTACAATCCCTAAAATTAATTGATCATATACATGTAAATACTATCAGGAAAGCATTCTGATAATAAAAGTAACTGTTTATATCATATTTGATAAATTACATTTGTACAACAATTGATAATGCATTTTTGTTTTTTCCAGGACCTGTTTACTGCCGCTTCTGCTCGACTGTATAAGGCAACAAAACATCATGTATTCTTCAAAGATATCACAATAGTAATACCAAAGTCATGGCCGAGCGATATCACTGATAGTTATATAACCGGACCCCAAATAGATTCTGCCCATGTGATTGTTGATAAACCCAACCGACTCGCAAAAAATAAGCCCTACGTCTCTGGCATGACCGGATGTGGAAATCCTGGGAAACACATACATTTAGAACCGTATACGGTGCAATTTCTCCCCGCTGATGGAGATGCAGGTATATAAATGTTGAAAAGCTTACAAAATATGTATCTTTATGCAACATAAACATTGACTACATGAAATATATGGAGATGGCGAACAGTATTCAAGCTCGAAAGTCCATTTAAACAATACAAATCAGGAACAAAGCAAACACGGACCTCTAAAACATCAGAGGTGGGATCAGGTACCATGGAGGAGTGAGCATCCCCTGCCGACCGGTCACACCCGCCGTGTGCTCATTGTCATGAACGGGAAATAACGGAAAAATCCTTAGACAATTCAGCGTGTAAATAATGGCCTAACAATTAGTATGAAAAACGTTAATCAGCATTTGACTTAATGATAGATTGTTCTTGCTGACAAGGTCATTGTATGGACCATAGAACTTACGAAATGCTGATTTTAAACGAGGCTGTTGATATTCTTGTTTCATCAACTTGTTTGTCAATAACTTACCTCGTTTTAGAAATTGTTCATACGTAGAGCATGCTCTTGCGTATCGAATCTACTGAGAAATTTTAACCCCGTATGCAAGAGTTAATGGTATATTGCTGCATAAAGTAAGGGAAGTTGACGATTGAAAAGTTAAAGTCATCACGTTTATCATAAAGATTAGTTTTAGGTTACAATTAATGTCTTTTTCTAGTAAAATATCCAGATATGAAACAGAAGTGTCAGACTCTGTGATATATTTTATTTCAAGCTCACTGAGATATATGTATATCGAGTCGACATATGAATGGACATTGCTATTGTTAATTGATAATGCGTCGTCGAAATATCTAAACGTCGAGTTAAAGGCCACAGCAAGTGTTTTCTTCTTCTCTTGTATAAAATTTTGAATAAATTCTGCTTCATATGAATACAAAAATAGGTCTGCTAAGAAGGGATCGCAATTGATACCCACTGGAATTCCAACAGATTGTTGGAAGACTTGGTCTCCAAAAACTACACATACAGATATTGTCAATCAAAAAGTCAAGCATCTTTTTAATATCAACTTCAGAGTACTTGTGTGTACAATCAGAATGTTTTTAACAAAATAATTTTGCAAATGACCAATGACAAGGTAAATAAATTTACGAGTTCCATTTTTATTGAAAAAATAGCTGTCAATGATGTCAAAAAACATGGACTTTAATTTATCAATTGGAATGGTTGTGTATAGAGTTGGGAAGTCGTAAGTTTTTTTGCTATTGATTTTGGTAAAATTTTGTGATTTCAAATTTTCCAAAAGTTCCAAGGATTTTTTAGGAATCCACATCTGATTTACACCACTTCTCGAATATATAATTGCACAGTACTCTTGAAGTTTCTCCTTCACTGCTGTTAATATTTTAGTGAGGAGTAAAGAAAGAGGCTTGGTAGAACATTTACTGGAACCCGCTAAGTATCTTTGTTTGTTCGGATTTTAAAATTTTATGATTGGTTGTTGGGAATATTTAAATCTGACACATGAATTTGAAGAATTTTCTCCTTAGAAAGGGAGCTATGGGTATAAGTTGGATTACCAGTTGTAGAATTAAATCCCAGTTCCTTCTAAAATACAATTCAAATACATATGATATTCTTAATAATGTTATGAAATCAAAACTTCCAATTTTGATAACTTTAACGCTTTGTGTAAATAATTTCCTTTTTCACATTATAGACAGATTATTCGTTCACCATTGGGGCCATTTTAGATGGGGATTATTCGACGAACATGGAGATACCGAGTCCCCAGTCCAGGAGCCAAATACAAATACGTGGTTTTATTCATCTGGAGGAACCTACAAACCAAATATGTAGAAACATACTTTAAATAGTCACTTGATGATTCTTTACAAAAAATAATGAAATTACATTCGTAATTATCCTTCAAAACGATAAATCCTAACATAATATACACTATTATAATTCATGTGCTTTTATTTTATTTTGGTTTCCCTTTTTTATCTTCTTCCATGTTTATTGCAATGAAAATACTTGATTTTACCTTTGCAGTTGCGTTAAAAATACATTAGGTAAAAGTGAACTGAATTATTGTGGGAGTAATATGAAGTGCTCTGTGGATGAAAATGGTTTACCTGAAAAGGATTGTAAATTTTGTGCAGACGAAACTGGAAACACTGTTAATGGATCAATAATGGGGAACATAGAAATATCCAGTGTAAGTGTTTATAAAGTTGAAATAAAAGAGTTACTATGCAAAACAATCCTCATTTGTATATTTCATCCGTTTATATATAAAACGTTATACGTAGAATTTTTTATATGATAGCTAGAGTTGTCGAACATGTCGTGGAAAGCTTTATACACAAAAAGAATTCTTTCGTACTTTCGTAAAATTGACATACAAAACGTTTAATTTGAAATAAACATAGGAATTTTTTTGTTGATTTTGCATATATGTTGAATGTATAGGACTGTGCTGTACATATTGTGTATATTTTGATCTGAGATTGATAAAAATCTAGTGCTATATCTTGGTAATCACGTGGTACACTGACGTCCTTTACTCGACGAATTGGAAAATGAAAGATGAAACGATTTTTATTACTTTTAAAACGAATAATTCCAGTTTCATTGCGATATTTGAAAAGGTGGAAGAGTTTTGTGATGAAGAAGATAGCACTGTTCCACACAACGAAGAAGCAGAAACACCGCAGAACAAAATATGTCAAGGAAAAAGTGCCTGGGAAATAATGAGACTTCATTCTGATTTTAAAGGTTTCTATTTCTGTACATATTTATAATTTATGCTTTCTTTCCAACCATGAGAAAATGAATGAACAAAAGCTCTTGTTTATCATCAAACTACTCACGACGTACACGTTTCTAATTACATAAACTGGATAACGAGGGCTCATGAACCCTTCTTTTCGTCTTCTAAAATTGTATCAAGAGGTTAATTTTTAAGCTAATAATCAGATAATAGGAACAGGCAATGTTCTATAACGTTGTCTCTTTTTATTAACATTTACTTGTAATCTGCAAGTTCGATTAATAATATTTTTTTTTTTTCAAAGAGCTGATAATATAAACAAGAGGCCCATGGGCCATATCGATCACCTGAATAACTTTTGCCATGCTGTTCTTTACCAGATTTCCCCCCTTGTAACACCTATTGTGGCCACGTCCTACCCCCGGGGGTCCTGATTTGAACAATTTAGAATCTACACTACCCCAGGATGCTTAGACATAAGTTTCAGCTTTTCTGGCCCGGTGGTTCTTGAGAAGAAGACTTTTTTAATGACCCCTCCTATTTTTTTTCTTTTCTTGATTATCTCCCCTTGTAAGTGGACTTGGCCCTTTAATTCCCCTTTACCCGAGGGATGCTTTGTACCAAGTTTGGCTAAAATTGGCCCAGTGGTTCTTGAGAAGAAGTTGAAAATGTGAAAAGTTTAAAGACGATCGGACGGACAGACGGACGGACAGACGGACGGACGACGGACAACGGGTGATCAGAAAAGCTCACTTGAGCTTTCAGCTCAGGTGAGCTAAAAACAATTCATATTGTATACGAGGGTTGTCACAAAATTCCGTAGACAAGCGCCGTTTTGTAGTAACCAGGGCCGGGTTTCACTAAACTATCGTAAGATTTGTCCTAAGATAGACCTTACGATCATCTTAAGATCTGACTTATGACAATCATAAGATTTGTCACTGTTGTTTTACAAAACTATCTTAAGTATAAGAAATCTTAAGACAAGTCTTAAGACAAATTCCATTCTTCAAAATTACAGGGAATTTTTTTTATAATATGTTTGCACGAAGTTTAGCGTCTTTCTTTAATTTTCTTTGAAATATTGAAATAATAGTGTGTCTCATTTAGTTTCTTACATGTATGCAGATATACCCTCAAAAAAAAAAAAAAATTGTTGCATCAACTTTAATGTACTTTGTGTGTGTGTGTTGTTGGGGGGGGGGGGTCATAAAAAAACCAAATTTGAATTAATTTCATCACAAAAATTATTGAAAAAAAATTTGCTTAAACGTCTTTTTGCTCAGTATGTGATGCTACTTTTAATTAAATCTACTAGTGTATCTGAACCTTTGCAAATAATGAATGATTTTAGCAATTAATCTTTTTGAAACACCAATTCGTGTTCAAAGTTCGTTCATAAAATTCGATGAAGGTGTCTCTGGAACGCTTCAACTACTGCAACAAAATAACAATGCTAACAGACGAAGAAGAGAAACGAAAGAACAATTTCTAATTAAAATTTTACAGTTTCAACAGGTATCAAGAAAGCATGTACATGCAGCATAAAATGTTACAGCAGTTATTATATTAAATTTCCATACACATTCCGGGGAATTAAAGAGGGATACCCTAAGAATTAAAACTATTTGATTTTCATCTAATTTTGTAAGACTGAAAAAAAATGTTTACTTTCAAATTTCTAAAAAAAAAAGAAAAAAGAAAGAAAGAAAGAATTCACCACAATGTAACAAAATAAAGTATAAACGTGTTAAAAATGCAGGGTAGCAACACAGAAGTTCGAATTTTTTTTTTTTACTTTCATGGGCGGGACTTATCCAATCCGTAAAAATGCATATATTTCGTATTTTTATTTATTCAAAATATATTTACTTTACATATCAATAAATAAACTACATGTATCTCGAATTACGTTAGCCATTTTAAAAATTGCGTAAGTTAGCAATGCTTGGTCATAGAAATTGTGATGTTCTTGAGGGGTATTGAATTCAAAATTAAACAATTAAGAAATAAATAACAAGTTTAAAAACTTCAATGGGAATTGAAGTGGGTCGGTCACGTGATCAAATCCTGTGAAGGCCGAAGGCCTTCTCAGAAGATTTGATCACGTACCGACCCACTTCAATTCCCATTGAAGTTTTTAAACTTGTTATTTATTACTTATATATACATTTGAGACGGACAATCGAATGTAATCGAATATAAATATTGCACTAACTGTACGTCGTAGATTTTGACAAATTACGCTAGGTGTAAATCGGCTTGAGAAGCGGTTACGCTTCAAATTCATCTGGCAAAGGATTCTGTTTTGAAGGGAATATTCTGTGAAAGGCTACTTGTGATCAATTATAGTGAGCATATAGGTGTCTTGGAATTTTTGTATTCATGAGATCCCATATTCGATGTTAAAAAAACACAAGAAACACGTCCGATGTTTGATAATAAAAAGTTGGAGGAATTTCGGTCGGAAAGGGATGGATGGAGACACTTGTCCGGACCAGATAACTTGAAATCAAGTACAAAATTTGATCAAAAACATAAAATCTACGATTTCAGTAAGGCATATTCATTAATTTATGATGTTGACATGGAGACACTGGCGACAGCTTACATTGTTAAGACAACGTCACAACAATCTCGATGATGGAGGTGTGCCTACCGAACTTCCAAAGTGCAGTGTTTGTCAGCTGTTTGTGGCGTGATTGCATTGATATTTTTCAACAGATTTTCAAATTTATTGTGAGTAAAGTTTAATGAAAAAAAATTATTGCATTCAGAGGTCTGCGAGAAAAGTAAGGGTAAACGTCGCATTGAGACTATGCAGCTCAGACATGAAACTTATAACACGTAGTTGTCTATTCTCTATGTAAAATCGATCAAGAACTGTATTAAATACTCGTTTACATTGTAAATAAAATGATTATTATTTTACTTGCGTATTTTGTACATTTTTATGCATGAAAAACATGCTATATTGCTAAGTGGAGTAAGTCTTTTTATGTAGATATTACTGCGCTTTGTGATTAGGTCGCGTAATGACCTATGACCTTCAAAAAACTTCATACAGGTATGAAGATATTTGCTCTCTGCATGTTTATATAATAGAGAGATACCACAAATGTATATATTTTTGAATAAAGTTATATATGATACATACATGTACATATATACATTGTACATGGCCTTAAGAAGCAATTTTTGGGGGGGGGGGTTGCAATTTCAGTTAGGAGGGGGTACAACCAAAGAAACATGCCTTGAAATGAATAAAGTGGCACAAACATAAAGTAGGTACATTTTATGTTTTCTGTTGTATACTTATTGGCAAATTATTTGTGTGTGTGTGTGTAGGGGGAGGGGGGGTGTCATTGTTCCGACTGGCCTGATATAGTCCAAAGGATTGTATCTCTAAAAACCTTTTTCTTTAAATATCCTTCGGTTTTTAGCCAAAAGATATGCTATCGCCAGTTTCACTTTAGACTTAAGACATGTATCTAGTTGTCTTAAGATTAAGATAGATCTTAAGATTATCATTAGATATTAGAGTTTTGTGAAACGGCTATGGTGCAATCTTAAGACAATTTTCGGTCTTAAGACAGATCTTGGTCATAAGATAGTTTTGTGAAACGAGCCCCTGGTGTCATAAATTAATGAAACTTTCAAAATAACTAAAACTACTAACAACTAATATTTTTAGTGTAAAACATTGCGTAATTACACAGATTTATCCTATTTAAATGAAATAATTCAATGTCTGATGTAAAGAGGCGGCGCAATCTCAAAATTTGCTATTAAAAATCGGTATATAAAATGTAAAATCTCGCAAAAAAGGAAATTCTTGTCAAAATTTCGTGGGATAAAAATGATAGTTTCTCAAATTACATAAAAAAAACTATCTTTATTCCAATTTTAACTCATATGCCTTCAGTTATAAGAATGTTATAACGTTTATTTGCACTGGTTAGACGCTTGACTGTTTCAAAAAAATACGTCGCACTGACACAGGCGGCGTAATGGAAATGATAAAATGTAGATCGGAACTTTAATAGAGGTGTATTAGAAGAGACAAATGTTTGGAACACATAGATATATTCAAGTATGTATTATTTGAATGACATAAGAAGTTTTTCAAGGTATATATGGAAAACGAAGCAAATAATTTAAAAGAGACCAGCCGAAATAAACAGACAAAGAAATCGTCGTCAAAGCTACACAGTGCAACTCCATTCGGAAAGACGAACAAAATTAAAGTCCCTCGGAGATAAGGAGATTTTTATGAATTATTAATAGATGCATGCAATTTAAACTTTTTTGGCGTATATTTTAATGTTAAGTAAATCATAACAATTATTTCTGCAATAGATATGAGCTCAGTTTACGGGATATTGGGATAACCCTCGTATAATACGTGTTTTCACGTTTCTTAGTAATGCTTAACAGATATCTCA